GGGGGAGGGAAGGGAGGGTGAAGGGGGGAGGGAGAACGGGGGGGGGAACTGAGGGGGCGGGGGGCTCAGCACATGGGGCATCTTCCAAGCAACCACATAAATGAGAGCAACGCGGGTCCACCCTAAGGTGTGCGGGGAGGTTCCCCTCCCGGCTTCCACCTCACACATGATGCTGTTTCCCCGAACGCAGCTGCTCCTGGAGGGTGAGAAGTGGTTGCAGTGGTTCTGCTCAGGGCCAGGCGGGGCAGGAGGCCGGACTCCTGTCTTGGTGGACGCTTGGCCGCTGCCCTCTGTTGTGGCCTCAGCAGTGACTCCAGCCGAATCTATGGCCAGAGGCTGTGGGGAGTGGAAGCTGGAGGACCCCAGGCTCCGCGGGCCTCTGACCCAGGGAGCCCGCAGCAGGCAGGTCACCCCCACTTCTGTCCCCGTGATGCTGCAGGGACCCCGGCTCTGGGAGAAGCCACACTACTGTCCCCAGAGAGAGGACCAAGTGCTCAGCCGCAGAACCTGGCCGAGGGCACTCGGCTACCATGTCTGCAAAGGCCTGGAGCAGATGTGCCCGGGCCGCGGGGAGGAGCTGGATGTGCCCGGGCCACGGGGAGGAGCTGGATGTGCCCAGGCCGCAGCTGTCCTGAGGTCTCGACTGGCCCGTCGCTGTCCTCTCTCCTGTGCCCGCGTGGCTGCCCTGCAGGCTCCAGTGAATATAATTTTCTCTTGGCTTAGCTGCATCCTGCAGTTTTGATGTGTCTTGTCTTCATCACCATTCATTCAACATATATCCACATTCTGCCATGATTTCTTTTTGACCACTGGATTATTTAGAAACATATTGTTTGATTTCCAGGAAGTTGAGCATTTTCTAGTAATTTTTTTTTCACTTCTGACTTTACTGAGATCAGAAACTGCTCTGAATTTTAAATTTAGATCCTTTGAAATTATTTGAGGCTCTCCACATGTCCCAACCTATGGACATTTTGGTGAATGTTATATGTACACTTAAGAAGAAGAGGAATCAAGCCATTTGGGATACAAGGTCTGAGGTAGAACAATTGGGTCACTCTAGTTAATTATGTTGCTCGGGTCTTCCTTATCCCGACTAATTTTATGTTATCCCAGTTACCGAGAAGGGCCTGTGACAATTCCCCTATGCTTGTGGATATTTCTCTTTGTATTTGGCTCTCATTACTCTTAGCAGGGTGCTCCAAGGTGGGATTTATGTGTATCCCCCTTGGGATCTACTGATCTTCGTGAATCTGTGGATTAACGTCTGCCAGCAGTTTTCAAATATTCCCACCCATTATCGTTTCAGATTTGTCTGTCCCAGTAACTCTGATCTCTCTCTGGGATTACACAGATGTCTGACCTATTGACTGCGTCTCGTCTGTTATATTTTTCCTTTCTGGATTTTCTATTTATTTTTTTCCATTACTTTCATTTGAGTATTTTCTATTACTTCTGTTTAGGTGTTTTCTAATGACTTGTCTTTAAGTTTACAAATTCTATCTTCTACTGTGTTCAATTTTTTATTAAACCCACCAATTTCATTATTAATTTCAGATATACTTTTCAATTCAAGAATGTCTGTGTTATTGTTTTAAGGTTTCCATTTCTTCGTCGGGATCCCTTATTTTCCCATCTCTTGTCACTGAGCTCATTCATCACAGCTGTCTTTAAGGTCCTTCTCTGCCAACCCCAGTTTTGGATCACCTGTGGGTCCCCTTCTGCTCTTTGTTACCAGTCACATGGTCTTTACTCCCGACATACTCAGGTCTGTACCGAATGCTGAAGCTGGCGAATTATCATAACAGCAGTGCCCTGGTGGTTCCAAGCCACGTTGTCTTTAAGCATAAAGTACTCACCGTTTCCTCTTCTGAGGAATGGAATGAGGTCTGATCATTCTCGGTGGAGGACGGAGCCTGGTGAGAGCGAGCTGCACTTTCTGTTGCACTGAAGCTCATCCAAGCTTGTCCTGCCCCTCGGGGTGGCTTCCCAGGGCTTCCAATCCAGAGCCTGGTGGCTTCTTGTCTCCTTAGTACTGGAACAAGTAGGACAGTGAGGCAGGCGTTCAAGGGAGGGAGACGCGGGTATTCAAGGGGAGTGACGCGGGTGTGGAGGAGAGAGGCGTGAGTGTGAGATGCGGCCATGCACAGGAGGAAGCTGCCCTGCTGCAGGACAGGCATCCACCTCTTCTTGATCCTCCCCTTTCCAGGGAAGAATGGGATCGACCTGTCCCCTTTCCAGGGCTAGGAGGGGGTGGAAATCTTTTTGACACCAGGAAGCTTAGAGTGGCCGTCCCTTGGTTTGCCAGGGGTGAGGGTTTTTGCGGAAAGGAGACATTAAGTGTCTTGGCGTCTGATTGATTGGACACCGTGTTGGCCTGTTGTTTACGGTACTTCTTTACATCCACCCCTTACGGTCCTTTCTCTCCTCCCCATGGGTGCGTGTCCTCGACTTTGGCAAAATAAACTTTCTAAAGTAACCGAGACAGGTCTCACAGCCTCGGGAGGCCCTGACGACATGCTCAAGGCAGTCAGGGCACAGTTTGGTTTTACACATTGTAGGGAGACACGAGACATCAGTCAGCATATGTAAGATGAACATTGGTTTGGTCTGGAAAGACAGGATGACTGGAAGCAGGGAGGGGGCTCCAGGTCATAGGTAGGTAAGAGACAAATGGTTGCATTCTTTGGAGTTTCTGATGAGCCTCTCCAAAGGAGGCAGTCAGATATGCACTGATCTCAGTGAGCAGAGGGGAGACTGTGAAGAGAGTTGGGGGGCAGGTTGGCCCTAAGCAGTTCCCAGCTTCACTTTTCCCTTTAGCTTAGTGACTTGGGGGCCCAAGATTTGTTTTCCTTTCACACCTATTAGGCATTTGGGCTGTTTCCGCCTTTCGTCGGCTGTGATTAATGCTGCCATGAACGTACATGTACACACTTTGAGGCATGAGGAACAGCAATGAACAAACTGCTCAACTGTCTGCCTTCAGGGGCCACACGTGAGGAGACCGACCCTACACACCACCAACAGCGCACACGTGAGGATGATGGGCCGACGTGGCAGGGTCAGGGCAAGGGCTTTAGTGGAGGGGACAGGTAGAGAGGCCTATGAGGGGCAGATGTGGAGAAGGAAGGCAGGAGTCTGCAGCTCTTAAGGGGTGCCTAGGGGCACTTGATGTGAGGGGTAGCTAGGATGGGAGGTGGAGAGTGTTAGGGGGAGCTGGCCCAGGCAGTGGATGTCATCAAAGACCCCCACGAGCACAGGTAGGGCTCACCCAGGGCTGGCTGGGCAAGGGCCTCGCCACATCGTTTGTGTTGGACAGAGACTTGAAGGCAGCTGGGCTGGGGGAGCTTCACAGTGGAACAGGCAGCCCTGGTGTCCCCTGGTGGAGGCAGTGGCTGGGGAGAGTGGGGCGGCCTGTGAGCTTGGTAATGGAACACACGTGGCTCTCCCATCTTGGTCCTGAGTTGAAAGGTGATGAGGAGTCCAACCCAGGAAGCCACAGTCATCGACCAAGTCCTGACTGTCTGGGCCATGGCAATGTGGCCCACAGTTTAGCATCACTGGACTCCAGCCTGGGCGACAGGGTGAGACCCTGCATCTGAGTCTGTTCTTGCATTGCTGTAAAGAGATACTGAGGCTGAGTAATTCATAAAGGAAAGAGATTTAATCGGCTCATGGTTCTGCAGGCTGTACAGGAAGCATAGTGCCAGCATCTGCTTCTGGGGAGGCCTCAGGGAACTTCCAGTCATGGTGGAGGGCAGTGGGGAGGCAGGATTAGATGGCGAGAGCTGGATGGTGGGTGGGGGCAGACTCTTAAACAACCAGCTCTCCAGAGAACCAACCGAGCAGGAACTCACTCATCACCCAGGGCATGGTGCTAAGCCGTTCACGAGGAATCTGCCCCCATGATCCAACACTTCCCACCAGGCCTCACCTCCAGCACTGGGGAGCACATTTCAGCATGAGATGTGGAAGGGACACTCATCTAAACCGTATCACTCCATCTCTAAAACGTAACAGGAGTTTATTCTCACTTTTGGAGACCAGAAATCTGAGACCAAAGTGTTGGTGGCCACACCCCTTTCCCAGGCTTGAGGAGAGGAGCCTTCCTGCCTCTCTTAGCTCCTGGTGTCCCCAGGTGTCCCTGGGCCCGTGTTTTTGTGCCTGCATTGTTCCCATCTCTGCCTCATTCATGTGACTTCTCCACTTTCCTCTCTCTTCTCCTGTTCTGTCTGTGCCAATCTCCCTCTTCCTTTCTCTTATAAGGACACCAGTCAGTAGATTTAGGGTCCACCAGGGCAACCCAGGGTGATCTCATCTCAACATCCTTCACTTAATTACATCTGCAATGACCTGATTTCCAAATAAGGTCATATTCACAAGTACTGAGGTGTATTAGCGCATTCTCACGGTGCTGTGAAGAAATACTCAAGACTGGGTAATTTATAAAGAAAAGAGGTTTAATTGACTCACAGTTCTGCATGGCTGGAGAGGCCTCAGGAAACTTAGAATCACGGCAGAAGAGGCAGCAAGCATGTCCTTCTTCATATGGCGGCAGGAAGGAGAAGTGCCCAGCAAAAGGGGGAAAAGCCCCTTATAAAATCATCAGATCCACTAAGCATGGTGACTCAGGCCTGTAATCCCAGCATTTTGTGAGGCTGAGGTGAGCAGATCACAAGGTCAGGAGTTTGAGACCAGCCTGGTCAACAAGGTGACACCCTGTCTCTACTAAGAATACAAAAATTAGCCAGGTATGGTGGCGTGCACCTGTAATCCCAGCTCCTTGGGAGGCTGAGGCAGAAGAATCACTTGAACCCAGGAGGTGGAGGTTGCAGTGAGCCGAGATTGTGCCACTGCACTCCAGCCTGGGTGACAGAGTGAGACTCCATATTAAAAAAAAAAAAAAAATCAGCTCTCACGAGAACTCACTTACTATCATGAGAACAGCATGGGGGGAACCACCCCATGATTCAATCACTTCTCATGACACACGAAGATTATGAGAACTACAATTCAAGATGAGATTTGGGTGGGGTCTTAGCCAAGCCATGTGGGGTTAGGACTTAGACATATTTTTTGGAAAACATAATTCAACTCACTATTCCAGTCTTCCCTAACTCGGCTATGTATCAGACCCTCTTGGGGATCTTATAAAAGTTACATATTATTGTAATTTCTGTTCCAAAATCCCAGTAAGTTGCTCGGTGCCTGTTTCTGACGCCATCCTTAGGAGCCTGTGGAAGTTGCTGACGCCAGGATGCAGTCGCCTTCCCAAAGCAGAGCGGGAGATCACGAGGAAGGGAGCCTCGTGCAGTGTGTCTGCGGTAAGAGCAGTTGCGCAAACGCTCTGAAGGTCCTTATGCCTCTGTGCTGTGATAAGAGCTGTTATGAGAACTCAGCACAAAAAAGTCCAGACAAGTGGCTTCTAGGCTGATGCCTCCCCAGCAGCAATCAGCATTTCCAATGAGTCATCAGCACCTCCTGCAATCAGCCTCTGAAATCGATACACTTTGTTTAGTAAAAGCTCACAGGAACTTTTCCCTTTTGCCTTTAAAAGCCTCCCCAGTGATGCCTGGGATCTGCCCGGCTCACATGTTCAGGATTACAATCCGCTGCCATTTCCAAATAAACTCGCTTATCCTGAGAGCCACTCCCTTTGCTATTCAGAATGGCACAATCTGGTGCCAGAAGTAGGACCAGAAGCAAGATGGCCTTCAGAAGGAAGTGACATTCTTGGAACTGCTGTGTGGTGCCCGCCTGAGGCCTCTGAGCTCGTCGTTTCCACGGCCCACCTCTTCTGCCCACGTGCATCTTCTCCCAGGCTGAGAGCCCTCCTTCCGGCAGAAGCTTGACTTCGCTCGGGATCTGCCTTGGACGAGGCTGCCTTAATATAGGACCTCGCATCCCTCCTGGGACCCCGCGAGGCTGGGTGGTTCTTTCTGGTCCTGGGGAGTGCTCTGGTTTGTTTGTTTCTGTGCATCTGTAAGTGATTAAGTGGTTTGGCTTTTTTTTACTTCTGCTCTCCCTGCTTGTTTCAAAAACATCTTTAAAGAGCAAACATCACATACAGGGGTTATACGAATTTCTTTTTTCTTTCAAAAGTGCAGTAGGAGACAGAATGGGATTCTCAAAGTGTAAGGCACGCCCGGCTTTCAGGGGCTCAGCTGGTCATACATTCAAACATTGTGGTCCTTTGTGCATATTTTAAGCCCATGGATAGATGACACCAAGGGTGATTTGGAATTCCAGTGGCCATTTGAGAATCATTCCAGCTCCCCAAACTGGTTTCCTAGAAGTACATTAGAAAGCTGCAGCTATTGGGTTAAACAGTCTGAATGAGGCACATATTTTTAATTGCCATCTGGAGTCTTCAAAGTGCATTCAGGACTTTAAAAAGGCCTCGCTGCAAAGTGCTGTCTCCACGCCAGCCAAGGCAGCTCCTTCCCAGAGCCCTTCCTTCCCCTTCCCACAGGGCGTCCTCCTCCTCCTTCTCTGGCTGACCTCCTCCTTCCCAGAGCCCTTCCTTCCCCCTCCCACAGGGCGTCCTCCTCCTCCTTCTCTGGCTGACCTCCCCACCCCCTTTATTCAGAGCTCCCCAGCTTTTCTCCACGACCACCAATTCATCTTTTAACATGTGGAACCTCTAGGGAAGTTCTAGAGGAAGGAAATAAAGTAATTAAATACGCTATTCTGGCGTGTTGACAATTTAGTTAGAGTCACTCGAAAAACAGCAGGCTTGAGTCTTTTTCAAAGCTACCCATGCTGATTGCAGATGTAAAAAAATGTTTTCTCCCCACTGTTTCTTAATAGGCTCTACCCTGAAGTTAGCAATCTCATCAAGAAACAAGCAAAGTTGAAAAAACTGCCTGTCAAACTAAACACGTTTCAGCATTTAGCTGGCTGTCTTGAAACTGTTTTGTGAAAACTCACATCTATAAAGGAAAACAATCTTGGGCTTCCGAGGCAAAAACTATGAGAATAAATGAGTGAAGTAAGATTTAATTAGGATTCCCCTGGTGCCATCTCTGTGCCGATAAGAGTTGTGTCCAGTTAAGAAAATTAATATCCTTCTTTAGATGGAAGGAAAAATGGAGCCCTTCCATTGCTACTTCTTCATTGCTTTTAGCAGAAAAGAATATTTGTGTTAAAGAAGCATCGTCTGGGATGGTACTTCCTGACTCCTTCAATGGCCAGTTTTGATTAAGAAGGAATTAAAGCATAATTGCTAAAACCAAGTAAATTAGGTGAATGTAAATGACTTCAAAGTTTATAAATCAACTTTTCAATGACAGTGATTTTATAAACTGTGTCTACATAAAATTAAGTCCAAACATATTTTGGGTGAAACTTGAAGTTTTAAAATGAAATTAAATAGAGATTCATAAAATGAGTCATTTTAAAATAAGATAAAACCCACTGCTACAACTATAATTAAAACAAAACTAAAAAATACGCTGATTTCAAAGCTACCTGGAGGTTTTTAATCCTCACGAGCCCTAGCTGAAATGTAAATATCCAAGAAATTAACTTCTACACCCATCAGAGACCATAAATAGGGGGGAAGGAAGGAAGGAAGGAAGGAGGAAGGAGGAAGGAAGGAAAGAAGAAAGAAAGGAAGGAAAAGCAGCCTTCTTATCTTGAAGGATGAGAAGTTGAAGCAGAGAGAACACTGTACAGACCTTGTTAGATAACTCATATATTTTAAGCCCCCGGGAATGATTTAGTGAATTGATAACTGCCTCTCTGGGGTCTTCATTTCCATATGAGGGCTCCCATGCTCTGTAAAACCTGTATGATGCTTCTCTCCTGCTAGTCTATCTTATGTTAATTTAATTCTCAGACCCGTTAAAGGTCTGGGACACCCGCTCTGTCCTCTCCCTGGAACCTGCAGGTGGGATTCCAGGAGCCCTGACACAGGGCAGAGGCAGGAATTCTCACCAGAGTCAGCTCTCTCACGCCACTATCTGGAATGCCTGGTTGAGAAGGTAAAAAGTCTTCTTGTCCCTTCTTTTTAAAATTTGGAGTGGAAGGAGAACATTGTAAGAAGTGGTTCTTTAAATGGTGACTCTTGTGAATTTGGTGCTGGGTGCCCGTTGCGTTTTGGCCACAGCTTCCCAGAAATAGCTGCTGTTTTCTTTGTCTCTGCTTTTTGTGCGATTTGTCCTAAGGCTTGTTTTCTGTCTTGAGAACTTGGTCATAACCAGTGAGGATGCTGTCTCTGGTCTCCGCCCACTGGGAGATCCAAGTTGCCAGGCGTGCTTCTGACGGGAGTCACCGGCCAGGACGGAAGCGTGAAGTGTCTCTGTTCCACCACGGCAGCTCTCGGGAACTTACCTTAACTGCCTCACTGTGGTTGCCTTGTTACCAGTGAGCATCTTTACTTCCTTAGCCTATCTTCAGGAGAAATTTTAGATCCTGAAGGGGACTACATCCTTTGCATCCTCTCTGGGGACCTCTTGCATCCGTGGTTAAGCCATACAGGGCTTATTAATTTTGAATCACAGCTGAAGTAGGTTTACCTTTGGTTTGGAACTTGGTTAATATTTGGAGCATTATAGGAACTTTTTGTTTGTTTGACTTTCTGTCCTAAGCTAAAATGGAACTAGATGGGAGGAAAGAAAGACTTCAATACCACCGGCAATGTTTACTGTTGACCTCATTAAAAGCTGATAATAAGATATTTGAAAAAGGACTTTCTTTAGAGCTCCCTGATGAGAAGTCAGGCTAACTGGAAGCTGATGCTCAGGCTATAACTCTCGGTGGCTCTCTGTTTTCTCCGCCAGACTCTGCTTCTTCCCCTGGGAATTTCTCAGTCAGCCGAGCCATCCTTTCCCAGCACTGCTGACTGCGTGCTGTGCACATTTTTTGATTGGCTTGATTCTTGACTGTTTTAAAATGGAGCAAATAAATTATCTTTAAGGTATTTCCTACTCAGTAAGAGGCATTGTTTAAATTGACTTAGAAATAAATGAGCATAGCTACAACTGTAAAAAAGAATAGGAACTAACCCAAATGTTTTTAAAGTTCACATGACCTGAGGTAACCTTTGGTGAATAAAGGTGAGTTTAGATTTGCTGGTTTAATAAAAGCAGGTGTCTTCAGAGTCCTCAGCGTTAAAGATGATGCAGACACACAACTTTCATCTCTGCTAAAAAATTGTAAAGCATGAGTCTTACCTAAAAACAAATGTGTCCGCGGAAGTGTGGCGGCACACCCATTCCTTCTCACGTCCTCGGAAGTGTGGCGGCAGCCCATTACTTCTCATGTAGGAAGCGCAGCAATGAAACAAAGCGCTGTGCATTTAACTCTTCAGTTTCTTGATTTTGAGATGACCGCCTGACAGTCACATGCTGTAAAAATGGTTAATAGGAAAACACCTCAAGATGATGGCTGCTTAATATCTCAGGAAGTTTCTCATGAGTAACCCAAACAAATTAAAATACTAAAACATTAATCACTGAACGTAAGTGTAAGCTTATTCCTGGCTTCTAAAGTTCTGTGGAAAGATAAAATTTATTTGGGTCTATTAGAAAACATTGTGTCTTGTTCTATATTGAGAAATTGTTCTATGAGGAAGCACATTTCTGAAAAATTATAAAATATGTATTCATAAAATGTTATATAACAGTTCAAAATTGCTTTCTTCCTAGGTTCCACTAAAAATTAAGGGCACTAAGATTTAAAAATTCTAATTAATGTGTGTCATTCTATATGCAAAGTATGAAAAATAATGATACAATTTTTGGTAAAAAAATTATAAAAAGACATGAGGGTTGTTTTAGAAGAAGAACAATTTTGTCTAATTTGGAGGTTATTTAAAGGTTGCTTGAAAATGTAAATTTTGAAAAGAAATAGAAACAAGGCAGAAAGGAACCAGTAAATAGGACAAAAATAAGCAAAGAAAGTTATATCTTTGGTAAGGAAAGTTGAAAAGAAAAAGAGAATAAATTTATTTTTTATATGAGAAAATCTTATGTGGCCAAAATTATAAGGGAAAAAAGAGTAAATTTTTATCCTAAGTTAGCGTGATTCGTTGTTCCAATATAAAAAAGATGAAGTATAGAACAAAACTGAAGGTTTGAACAAATTCTAGAAGGTTTGAGAAAATTGCAAAAGGTTTATGGAAGACGAATTTTATGAAATACATTGTGTATGTGATCAAGTTGACTAAAATTAGAAGGAAATAATTTATAAGTCTTTCTAAAATAGAACATTAATATTTAGGCTGGCTGTGGTGGCTCATGCCTGTAATCCCAGCACTTTGGGAGGCTGAGGAGGGCAGATCATTTGAGGTCAGGAGTTCAAGACCAGCCTGGCCAACATGGTGAAACCTCTTCTCTACTAAAAATACAAAACGTAACCGGGTGTGGTGGTGCATGCCTGTAGTCCCATCTACTAGGGAGGCTAAGCCAGAGAATCACTTGAACCTGGGAGGCGGAAGTTGCAATGAGCAGTGCGCCACTGCACTCCAGCCTGGGCGACAGAGCAAGACTCCATCTCAAAAAAAAAGAAGAAAAAAGATCAAAAGTTTGCCAACATGAAACTAGAATTTGGTCTTCTCTGTTAATATGACAAGATTTTCTTGTAGTATTGATCTACTCCTGATTAAAAAATAATCAGAGTGTTCCTTACCTTTTTGGTAACTGTCACAGGTGAGTGGTGACCATCTGGGGCTGGTGGTGTGGTGAGAAGAAGAATTTACCAAGACGGTTGCAGATAAAGAAAGGCAGATTTATTAAAGAAAGTATGAAAATATGTTGCAAGAGTGCAATGGGCAAGTTAGCAAGGGAGGAGCTGACTGCAAGGACACAAAGACTTGGTGGGGGTTTAATAAGACAGTGTTTATGCTGTGAGCTGAAGAGGGCTTTGTACGGTGCTGATAACGCCAAGGTTGCAGTGAGCTAACTTGTAACTTTTCTGTCAGTCAAGGATCTGGTGATAGCTGGAAGATTGAGTTATTTGTGCAGGAGGATTATGTGTTCTGGACCATGAAGAAAGGCAGACTTAAAGCTTATGTGTCTTCTCTTTTTGCTTCCTTCAGTCCTGCCAGCCCCACTCTCCCTCACTAATGAGGCCTCCACAGTAACTGGCCTAGAAAAAGTTATCAAGATAATGTCGTGTACTTTGTGCTGTCTTTATTAGGTTTTTGATCACTTGGAAAAATTCTTCCTTTAAAGAGTTAGGGTTATTTTTTTTTTTTTCATCTGTGTAACTTTCTGTATTTGCTTTAAAAGTATTTTAATTATCACTATAGTTAAATGGGTGACTATTATTTCACAATGACCTATTATCCTGTTTTAAACCTTTGACATTTTTGACAAGCTTTCCCAAGATCAAATTCTAAATGAAATCTTTTTATTCTTGCATTGTAAAAGAAATATATTAAGTTTATTTGACACGCTAAATTATTAAATATGTGGGAACCATTGTAAACATAAGAAATGATGTCTAACCTTTCTTTCTTTCTTTTTCTTTTTCTTTTTTTTTTTGAGATAGAGTCTCTCTCTGTCACCCAGACTGGAGTGCAGTGGCGCGATCTTGGTTCACGGCAAGCTCCACCTCCCAGGTTCATGCCATTCTCCTGCCTCAGCCTCTTGAGTAGCTGGGACTACAGGGGCCCACCACCACGCCTGGCTAATGTTTTTGTATTTTTAGTAGAGACAGAGTTTTACTGTCTTAGCCAGGATGGTCTCGATCTCCTGACCTCATGATCCGCCTGCCTTGGCCCCCCAAAGTGCTGGGATTACAGGCGTGAGCCACTGCGCCTGGCCTTAACCTTTCTTTAAGTTATATTTGTATGGATACAGTATTAGTGTATTCCAAAAGTTGTATAAAGTTCTTAAATGTCTGATATATCTTGGTGTAATGTTATCAGTAGTAGTTCTAATTATTGTGTTAAAATATTCTATGCTATGGAAATAACCAAAGTTCCTTGTCAATTTCTCATTATAATGAACTCTCATCAGACTTTCAACCATGACCCGTCTATGTTTTTGTCATCCATATAAAAATCCAAATCCAAATCCAAATTATTGTTTTGATGTTTCTCTAAAAGCATTTGCGTCAACTACAGTCCAAATTGCTTCTAATGAAATGACTTTGGCAGTCCTCTTGAACTCTGATTGCTGATTCCTTTGAGATCATACCGTTGGACAGAGTAGATATTTTCAGGGCTATGTTGAAGAAACTGATGGGTTCATAAATCTGCTAACCTAGATGAAGCAGAATGAGAATTAATTACATGGGACCGAATGAACTGATGAAAAGGAATTATGGGTTTTTATAGTTTTAATTTAAAGGTTTTTTGGTTCTCTGTTTTAGTGTTTTGTTTTCCAGATTTAAGGAAAATATTTTTCTTAAGCTATCTATAATTTACACCAATTTGGTAAAGTATAACTTTGTGAACAAAAATGGAAACATAGGCTTCTTTCCCTACCTTATCTCTCCAAAATTTGTGAACTATTTGTGAATATTATTATGTTTTTCGCAATATAGTTATTTGTGTAAGTTCAATGAAAGCCTGTTCTCTTCAGAGCAGCATACAATGGAAAATACTGGTTATATTACCAGGTTTTGACTGGAATGCCAGGCTTCACGTTGCTCAGAAGTTGCTTCCATGAGGACGTCTCCCAGCAGCTGTCAATGTTTCCAATGAGCCATCGCCAGCCCCTGCAATCAGCCTCTCAGGCTGGTAAGTTTTGTTTCAGAACTGCTTACTCGAGCTTCTTTTGCCTTTAAAAGCTTCCCCTTGCCCCAGCCTCCCAGGGAATGCCTGTGATCTGTGATGGCTCACATATCCTGGTTGATAATCCACTGCTGTTCCCCACGGAATGCCTTCATTTTGAGAGCTGCTCTCTGCCTGCTGTTATTTCGGTTGATGGCCCGCTGCTGTGTGCAGAGTTTACCAGCCACTGTGGTGTGCAGCACAGCAGCTGACCTGCCTGCCCTGTGGTTTTCTAATTCCATCGAGGGGATGTCTTAGACGTTCTCACCAAGAATGCACAACAGTTCTGGGTGGGCCACACCCTTCCTCGTGTTTGGTGCCACCAGTGTTACAGATTTTGGCTACTGTGGGTGTGTGGGGTGGTTTTCATTGGTGTTTCCGTTGCACCTTCCTGGTGCTCAAGTCTGTTGAACACTTTTTCGTGTGTTTATTTGCCATCACTTGGCGAAGTGTTCAAATCCTTTGACCATTGTTTCACCAAGTTGTTTTATTATGAAATTTTAGGGGTTACTTATTCTGGATGTCAGCACTTGGATAAATGAGAATATTTTTTGCAGTAAATGACATCATTTTATGTGGGTGAACAGAATATTTTAATTTTGACGAAGTCTAATGGATATATGTGATGTTTGTCTATTTTGAATGCATACATATGTATATTTAATGCACTCTTGTATGACGATTGTGCACTTCATAGGAAATGCGGCAACCTTGCCTGGCCATCCCGGAGGCCCCTGGTTCTCTGTTCTGTGGTGTCATATGCACTACGCTGACTCACACCTTACGGCACGGTTTCTTTTGCTCTTAAGCCGGCACACGCGTTTTAAAGGTAATTTCCTCCGTTAGAGAAGTCGCGTACACTCACCCTGCTATTTGCCATTTCTGGAGCTCTTTATTTCCTTCTTCATATCTGCATTTCCCTCTGGAATCATTTCCATTCAGCCCGAAGAGCTCTTCTGCCTGGGATTCCACCCTCTTTTCTAGCAGCTGGGCTCTTCCTCTGCTGGGTCTGGCCAGGGGACACTGGGTTTTCTGTTAGGGTTTCAGTTGCCCCGTGTGGTGTCAATGTCAACGTGTCTGCAGGCTGGAACCAACAATGAGCACCCCCTCGGCCTGGCCCTGAGCTCCAAGGCCCCACTCCCACGGGGTCTTGCTGCCAGGACCCCACTGTCTGCATCCTGTCCAGAGTGTTGAGGAAGGCAGAGTCCAGTGGGATCTCTCGGCCTTCCCAGGGTTGAGTCCATGCTCTCACCTTTCCTGGGAGGCGCTCGGAGCCAACAGAACAACAAGGGGCCTTTCCCCGTGGCTCCCTCCCCTCTGGAGAAAATGGGTCAGACCTGGTTTCTCCATAGTCACTGTCCCTAAAATGAAGCCGGGCTGCTAGAGGCAGTTGCATCTTCCGGCACCAAGACCCCAGAGTCCCTGTGAGAAAGAGGACCAACGACGATGGAAGCCTTTCTCTAATGTGCGCACAGCCGGGCCGCTCCTCTGAAGGTGCTGAGCCGCCTCTAATCACAGCGCCACACTGGCTGCAGGTCGCTGGGTGTAGGATGAATCCAGCTGTGAAGAGGCTGCATTTTCTGGGAGGTTTCTGTGAAGTTACTGAACAGCCAAAAGGTAAGCAGTTTTAATTGATTTGTGAGTCTTCAATTAAGCACAGCAGAATGCTAATGAAATATTCTCTGTTCTTTAAATAGAGAATGCTTTAAATAATTCAGCACAATCTTTGCATAACTCACACCTTTCAGCTGAGGTGCCTGTCAGCAGTGAAGTGATTGAGAGCACACACTGTCCCGAAGACACAGCCCCCTTCCCTCTGGGGACGCGCAGCCTGCAGAACAGATGTCATCTGATGCAGGACTGTGGTTTAAAAACTCGTTACGGGAAGCATGAGGCTGGACCCAGGGGACCCTGGAGGCGATGCAGGGGCTTCAGCAGCCGAGAAGCTGTTGGAGGAGGAGCCCTTGGTGGAAGAGGGGACAGTTTGAGCCTCCGGCCTCCAATTCCGTCCCGCTGGCTTCTGGGCTGCACCTCCAGGAGTCCAGCTAAACCCACAGGGCTCTGACGTCCAGACTTTATTAAATGTTTCCTCTAATAGTTCTGGCCATTCTGCTGGGCCATTAAAGGCCACCCCAGGGCCACAGATATGAGTGTGGTGTCTGTATGTGGTCCTTTCATGGAGGGCAGGAAGCATCATCATTACTTTTTTAATCGTTTTCAATTTGTGTTGACAAAGAGCCTTAGTGAATCTGTTGAAAGAAGAGCGACTTGAAAATGAACCTGACTCCCTGTATCTTAGGAGTCCATATTCTCTGATACAATTAACGTTTTCCTTCCAACCTCTTAATTGCACAAAGTGGTATTTTAGCTATTCACTGTTTGACACTTTAATAGTTTTGATTAGAAATTTCAGGATGTGGAATTGCTACACTGCCCCAGGTTCCTGTAGGAGCAGCAGCCTCAGCCTATGGATGGGATGTGAGATCTTGGTGTTCTCCTGGAGGAAATGCTATGCTGCTGTGTTGATGACGGGGCATGTGTGGGGTTGATGACGGGGCGTGGGGATGATGATGGGGTGTGGGGTTGGTGACGGGGCATGGGGTGGATGATGGAGCGTGGAGTTGATGACGGGCCGTGGGGTTGATGACGGGGTGTTGGGTTGACGACGGGGCATGGGGTTGATGGCGGGTGATGGGGCATGGGATTGATGACGGGGCGTGGGGTTGATGACGGGGCGTGGAGTTAATAATGGGGTGTGGGGTTGATGGGGCGTGGGGTCGATGACGGGGCATGGGGTGGATGATGGGGCGTGGAGTTGATGACGGGCCGTGGGGTTGATGACGGGGTGTTGGGTTGACAACGGGGCATGAGGTTGATGACGGGGTGTGGGGTTGATGATGGATGATGGGGCATGGGGTGGATGACAGGGCATGGGGTTGACGATGGGGCGTGGGGTTGACAATGGGCTGTGGGGTTGACGGGGCATGGGGTTGATGATGGGTGATGGGGCGTGGGGTTGATGACGGGGCATGGGGTTGATGACGGGGTGTGGGGTTGATGACGGGGTGTGGGGTTGATGACGGGTGATGGGGCGTGGGGTTGATGATGGGGCATGGGGTGGATGACAGGGCGTGGGGTTGACGATGGGCCGTGGGGTTGACGACGGGCCGTGGGGTTGATGGGGCATGGGGTTGATGATGGGTGATGGGGCATGGGGTTGACGATGGGGCATGGGGTTGACGGGGCATGGGGTTGATGATGGGTGATGGGGCGTGGGGTTGACGATGGGGCATGGGGTTGATGATGGGGCCATGGGGTTGATGGGGCATGGAGTTGATGACGGGGTGTGTGTGGGGTTGACGATGGGGCGTAGGGTTGATGATGGGGCGTGGGGTCGACAATGGAGCGTGGGGTTGGTGGCGGGGCATGGAGTCGACAATGGAGCGTGGGGTTGGTGGTGATGGGGCGTGGGGTTGATGATGGGGCGTGGAGTCGACGATGGAGCATGGGGTTGGTGATGGGGCGTGTGGTTTATGACAGCTTGTGTCAGACGAAGCCACATCAACTCATCCTGAGCACCCCTTTTCTCAGAACATAAGGATGAGCATGATCAAAGTCCCGTGACTTTTTTCCTGAGCCCCTGAGATGGATGAACTACTGCTGGTAGGTGGGTAGATTAACAAACAGAGGTGAGGAATGTTGGTATGAATAAGATCCCCAGGCTGCCATGTGACTGAAGCTCTGACTGGTCGTGCTGGTTAAAGATATATCTGAGCAAGATTGGTTGCTGACAGGCAGGTGTGTAGAAAATAACCTGTATGTGGTGGTCCATTTTCAATTGTAAGTGCCTTTATATAGGTTTAAGTAGGCTATGTGGAAATAGAGAAATAAAGAAGCAGAAATGTACTGTCACCACCCCCCTCTCCTTCCTGCTTTCCCTTTCACCCAGCGGCCAGGTGCCTATCAGTCGGGGCCCCTTCAACTACCCTCTCCCCACCCCACCAAAGCATTTAGTTTAGGCTAGCTTGCAGCATAAATAATTATACTCTTTCTTATCAGCTACATGCAGCCACTAGGGCCATAGTCAAATGTTTGAAGAGTCCTGAGACTGTTGCAAGCATGGTGGGCTATAATAAAATGCAGTAGAAAGATCCTAAAGAACATACTTGAAACCTTAATCCAACTACCAATAGGTGATGCCCAGGAAGATTGTAACCCCATTTACTCAGCCCATGAGGAACTGGGGGAGGGACCTGTGCACTAGGGGATACATTGCTTGTTGAAACTCTGCTGGGGGTACCTGCATGCCAGCCAGACACACGATCTTGCAAGACCGTCATTGAAAATCTCCGTTTCACTGTTCTCCAGGTCTCTGAGTCCATTCTTTGGGTTTGGACGGGTGAGTTTGTTTCTCACAGGTGCGACTGTCTCTATTTGCATCAGGTTCAGTTTCTTCCTGGTTGACCTTGTGGGTGTGAATGTTGTCACAGACCTGCTGGGCCATCTTTCTGCAAGAAGATAAAAGAAGACCAGGAGTGCCTGCCGAGCTCCTGCAGAGGAAGTCTAGGAGAGGAAAGGGTGGAACCAAGGGCACTGCTGTGGGCTGAAGGTTTGCATCCCCCCAAATCCTTATGTTGAAATCCTTAACCCCACTGGGATGGTGTTTGGAGATGGGACCTTTGGGAAATGATTAGGTCATGGGGTGGAGCCCCATGAAGGGATTAGTGCCCTTGGAAGAAGAAACACCAGAACCAGCCTCTTCTCCCTACTCACCATCCGTCCTCTCTGCTGAGGACAGAGACGAAGATGGCGTCTGCAAACCAGGAAGCAGCCTCGCCAGACACAGGATTGGCCGCAACCTTGACCCCAGACTTCCAGCTTCCAGAACTGTGAGAAATAAATGTCCATATTAACTAGGGGCACAGGACATGGGGGAAGCTGGTTCCAGACCTGCCTCCTGGGAAGTGGGAGGGGGCATTTCAACCTGTTAATTTCTCAAATTAAATAGTCATTCAAAAAGAGAAACAGAAACACCTCATTAACTCTGTGATTGCCAAATTATTGATCAATTCTCATAGAAAGTTATAAAATTTTCCCTTCTGGTACATTTCTGTTAAAAAGAAGGTTGTCTTTCCAGCCTTATGTTTCGTAGTTTATTTTGTCTACATTCATTATACATCCATTATTTAATACATTTTTCTTCCAGTTGATCATGTTACTTGCTGATAGGAAGGACTGAGTTCATTTTCAGTGTGTCTGGTTTTTCCATTTCTGTGCCTGGGAAGGTGGGTGGCTCCATCATCATCCATGGTCTCTGAAATATCCGGTGTTACCAAGGCCTGCTTGTTCCACCAAACTGCTCCATGGGCAGTTGTGACACCCAGAAAGATGCTGATATGGTTTGACTGTGTCCCCACCCAAATCTCATCTTGAATTGTAGTTCCCATAATCCCCAGGTATCTGGGAGGGACCCGGTAGGAGGTAATCAAATCATGGGTGTGGGTTTTCCCAGCTCTTCTTTTGATAGTGGATACATCTCGAGAGATTCTGATGGTTTTATAAACAGGAATTTCCCTGCACAGGCTCTCTTGCCTGCCGCCATGTAAGGCCTGCCGCCATATAAGACCTGCCTCTGCTCCTCCTTCACCTTCTGCCAGGATTGTGAGGCCTCCCCAGCCATGTGGACCTGAGTCCATTAAACCTCTTTTTCTTTATAAATTACTCAGTCTCAGGTATTTCTTCACAGCGCTGTGAAAATGGATTAATACAGACGCAGCTGGCATGAGGCAACTGTCTTTTCCAACTTGGAGTTATTCTCAGAAACTGCAGTAACTCAACGTTGGGAACAGAAATGCACCACCCTGAGGTCAGGGATTTTAGGAGACAGTCTGGAAGCTTCTGTTGCCCGGGTAAGCCCTCAGTGCCCTCACTGATGTGTGCGAAGCTGCTCTTTCTGTGAATGGACCCTATCCCAACCAGGAGGCCTGGAAGCTGCAGCTTTGAGGTTTTGATTTTTATGGAAGAGTCCTTGGTGGTCCTCACAATCTGGAGGCTGAGAGTCCAAGGTCAAGCAGCTGGTTCCTCTGGAGGCTCCGTGGAAGAAGCCCTTCCATGCTGGTCTCCTTCCTCTCGAGTTCCTGGCAACCCTTGGTGTTCCTTGCCTGGTGAATGAATCACCCACCTTTGCCTCCGTCTGTCCATGGTGTTATCCCTGTGTCTCTGCCCAAATCTCTCTCTCCTTATGAGGACACCAAATGGATGACCTCATCTCAGCTTGATCACATGTGCAAAGACCCTGTTTCCAAATGAGGTCACATTTTCAGGTGTGAGGGTTAGAACTTCAGCTGTCTTTCTGGGGGACACAGCACCATCCGCAGCTGTGAGGACACTGGACAAAGCCCAGCTCGGACCTGGCTCGGGTCGGAGGGGAGGGGCACAGGCAGATTTGCCTCTTTCCTGTTTTGCCGTTTTCCACGTAACTCATATTTTCTACTTTAGAGGAACCATTTACGGAAAACTACAGGATAAAGGAAAAACAAATGGTGGAGGAAACGAAATCTGTCAGCAATCAGCGAGATTGTTAATTTCCTCGTGAGGAGCCAGTTGATTGAAGGGTGCCTGTAATTTACAACTTCAGCCTTGGGAAAAATGTGCACAGTTATTTTTCCGTCTCCATGAAGGAAACATTTAGATGGGCACTCATGGGGCTGGTTGCCGATTCAGAGGAACGTGCAGGGGCACCCACCCTCCAGGCGTGGGAAGAGAGAAGTGTGTGCGTCCCTGGCCTCTCCGGGCTCTAAGTTAGTTTTATGGGAGCTAAAGCCTCCCTGCTTCCCGAAGCCTGGGGATTTGGGAGTGCTGGCCCCGGGCTCTGTGTGGCCTGGGACTTCGACTGCAGCTCGGAATTCTCAGGCTCGGCGGTGGCAGCTGGTGCCCTTCTCCAGGCATGGCTCTGGCCGTGTGCCCGGAACAGCAGGCAAGGTCCTGGTGCCAGCCCCATCACAGGTGGCACGGGACCTGAGACAGATTTGGCCCTCTCTGCCCAGGCCCCCTTGCTGGGAAAGCAGAGGCTCATCTGACCTCCGGGAACCCCCACTCTCACCTCGGAGGATGTTTTGGGCGATGCTGTGTGTTGCCATCTTTGGGGAAAACTAGTTTAATGAAGGAGTCACGAATTTGGCGAGGGGCCGCCTCCGCTGACGGTGTTTCCTGAGTCCCCGCCCGTCACTGGGGCCCGAGAGCACGTGTGACTCCATTGGATGGGCGGGACTGGCTGTGACCAGCTGTTCCAGGTGACGCTGCGCTGGGACAGCTCCGTGGCAGGGCCCTGGGGTGAGCTGGGCAGGGACCCGGGAGGTCAGAGGCCCCTGGGTCGTGGCCACGCAGCTGGAGAGCTGGTGCTGGGAGTGTGTGCTGAGGGGCAGCACGGGCCCAGGGGCTCCTTCCCACCGGCTCTGGTGGCTCAGCCCGGAAATGTGTGCAGGGACGCGTGCTGGCCACACATCACCGTGAGGATGCACTTGACTGAATCTGGAAGGATCCCAGGGCTGTGGAAGATTTTGGAAGATAAAATGCCCCCAAGGAAGCATGCGTTAATAAATGAATAAATATGCCCAGGCTGAAACGATTTCCTGCAACAACTATTCACTGGGCAGGCCCTGGTAGGGTCCTCACCTTCCCCACGCCTGTTTGAAGTGTGAGTCCTTCTCAGAATGGGCAGAAGGAGCAGGTGGTACTGATGAGATGCAGCCATCGTCACCCACATTCCCGCACCTTACCAGGATGAGCATCTCCAAAGCGGGGCAGAGCTGGGCTCCGTGAGTGAGCACTGCGTTGAGAAACCACCTTGTGTAAGTGCAAAGAGGCTTGTCCCACAGCTCCTGGTCACCAAAAGCTGTCAGCTCCTCTCATCGGACCTTGGGTCTTGGGCACGTCCTTCCAGCCTCAGTGCCCCAGGAAGGAATTCAGAGACAGTGGCTTCAACCTCCCAGGGCCGTGTAGAGGCCAAACCAGAGCGACTGTGGGTGGAGCACCTTGCCCCACCTGGGCCCGGCTGCAAGGGTATCACAGGCCAGACCCTTCACTCTGCCCTCCCCATGTGCCCAGGCCCTCCGGGAGCTCTGGCAGTCCCAGCTGAAGGTAGAAATCTTCTTACTGTCCCCCACACTGTGTCTGTACAAAGTGAGACGCTGACTTCCCAACTCACCCACCCGCTGCACTGGGTCAAGCTGATAAGAGCAGCCCCTGAAGCCACAGAAAAGTCCTAGGCATGCCAGGAAAACGCGAAGCCCCTGGGGGCCCTGGGATGTGAGCTCTGCGCATGGAGGCGTGTTGGCTTGGGGCGATCTTTCCAATGCACTTCAGAGCCTCTGGGAGACCAGAGAAGAGAGCTCCGGGACAGGTGGGCACAGGCACAGCGTGGGGTCAGCTTGTCTCCCCCGGGAGACTCCACAGTCCAGAGCTCTGGACAGGTGGGCACAGGCACAGTGTGGGATCACTTGCCCCCCTGACCCCAGGAGACTTCACAGTCCAGGCAGAACTCACTAGAAGGAAACAAACTCAGGCCTGCCAGGGCACATTTTGCACTTGCCATGAGTGTGGTGGTTCTGTTAACATTCCCAGTAAATCCGCTGTCCCATCAGGACACAGGGATGGAGGTTCCTGTGGCCGGGGCCTTGCCAGGGGGCATGCGACTTCTGGTGGAGCTCTGGGCCCCGCAGGTCCGGACATGGCTGCATTCTTCATTAGTGCCGTCTCTGGGCCATGACGAAGAGTCTCTTTATTTTTATTAATTGAATAATCAATTAATTTTTGCCTAAGGAAGTTGCCAGGTTTTAGTTCCTGCAGAGAATTCTTAGTTTCCCAAATAGGCATTCATGATCAAAGCTCATTTTCAGACGTTGGAGGGGGTGCGAAAGGAGATGTAATTGCCAATTATTTGGAATCATCTGAATTGCAATCACTTGAATGGCAGATGATTTATGCAACGGCCTGGAACCTTGAAGCTTGTTTGGAATTCTTCCAGGTTGGGAGGCTGGGAGGGGCCCTCTGCCTTTCAGGATCCCTCCTGCCACCGTGTGTGGACTGAATAACCACAGAGTGAGGCCGACGGAAACCTGGCAGTGCACAGAGAGCAGCGGACCCCTCCTGCCACCGTGTGTGGACTGAATAACCACAGAGTGAGGCCCACGGAAAGCTGGCAGTGCACAGAGAGCAGCGGATCCCCTCCTGCCACCGTGTGTGGACTGAATAACCACAGAGTGAGGCCCACGGAAAGCTGGCAGTGCATGTCTGTTTGTCATTGTCAGCTTCAAATACTTTTTAATTTTGAATAATTTTAGATTTTCAGAAGGGTTATGAAGATCGCGCAGGCAGCTTCTGCAAGCTGCTCCTGATTTCCCTCAGCGTCCACGTCTTCGTTGCCATGGTGCACCTGCAGCAGCCAAGGAAGCCGCGTTGCATCGCCACGAACTCAACTCCAGGCTTCGGATTTCAGAGCTTCCATCCATGTCCCCTCTCTGCTGTCACCCCATCGGGGGTGCCACCTTGTGTCTGATCCTCCTGTGTCCTCGGCTCCTCTGGTCTGTGACATTTCTGTCTCTCCTTTGCCACGACCCTGGCAATGCAGAGGAGCCTGTTGGGCACCCTGTGGATGCCCCTCCGTTTGGGTTCATCTGTCCTTTTCCTCATGGTTAGCCTGGGGTGATGGGCTTTGGCAAATAATACCAGGGAGGTGAAATGTCCTTCCCCTCACAGCCTCTCGAAGGCGTAGAACATCCTCTTGACTTCACAGGCGGCATTAACCTGATCACTTGTGTGAAAATAACGAATTGGGAGGCACTAGGCTGGGGCTCCAGTACCTCAGAAGCAAACCCAATTCTTGCACACAGAAACCCCATTCAGGGTAAGGGGTCCTGTCCTAGGAAAGAAAATTCAAGTTTAATCAGAGACTGCCAGCTAACCTCAAAACGGGGGCTTTAAGATGCCATTTCACTTTAATCAATCCCTCTTTCTGTTCTTCCTTCCAAGAACACTTGGCAAAGGTTTGTTTCCCTCGTGCTCCTTGGCAGAGCCCAACCTGCTGTAGTGTGGTGCTGCCCAACTCATGGATTCCTGTCTCCCCAAATAACTCCTTAAACTTCCATGTGCCTACGTTCATCTCTCAACGCTTGGATCCGGTGGCGTCTGCCAGGTGTCTTCGCTGTAAAGTCACCGTCTTCCCTTCCACTGCTCCACTCTTTGGGATGAGTCACTAAGCCTGTGCTTCCTCCAGGGGAGGGCTAGGGAAGAGGGAAGCTCCATCTCCTGGAGGGGCTGCTGCGTATGATGTTATCTGGAGTAAGAAAGATTTGCCTCTTCTCCACATTTACTTGTTTATTCAATTATCTATTTATACCAGTATGGGCTCATGCATATTTACTTTATATTTTGGATTATAATTCAATCATCCAATATATTATTTCTTTTGTTGTTCAAATTTTTCCATCTTTGGCCACTGGCAGCCCTTTCACATGGTACCTGTGTCCATTGGACAATCCCCTTCCTTTTGTTTTTTTTGAACATCTTACTTTTTGATATCATGAGATACTCCAGGCTCATCTTGTCTTTTCTCTGATCCACCCTAGAATCAGCCCTGGTTCCCCTCGTTGGAGAATGATATTTAGAAACAAAAACCTGGGTGTTGGGTGTGCTCAGTGGGACTGGGGTGTCATTGCCTCCAGCCCTGTTAGTGAAGACAGCTGGGTAATGTGCGTGCGGCTAATACCCTATGTGTGAACATGTACTTCAGATTATTTCTGGATCTGTCCATCCTTATATCGATGCTAAGCTAAATATGAGTTCACATTGATGTCTCTGATTCTGATCTAGTACCACAGGATTCAGTCTAAACTTCCTTATTATAAATAATCTTCCCTTCCAACACAAGAAGTCTGCCTCCCATGGTTTGCCACTTGTTGACTTATCTGTTCAATCCCAGTGTATGTGAATTGTTAACTTATACCCCTGTGGGAAATAAATTTACCAACGAAGGAACACTATTAATGTCCTTTTGTCTTTAGCTTTACAATTTCCACTCAAAACATCACATTCTGAAGTGACTCAGCTCAGCTTCCCTTTTCTTTAAGTTTGCCCTCGTTACAGTTCACGCTTTGTGACGTGCAGTGCTGGGTTCTGACAAGTGCACAGAGCCATGTGTTCCTACCCCAGTGCCAGACAGAAGAGCTCCTTGTGTGGCCCCTGATGGCCAAGCACTCCCTTCCCCAGCCCCTGGCAACTGCTAGTCCAAGCTTGTCCAACCCACAGCCATGGGCTGCACGTGGCCCAGGATGGCTTTGAATGTGGCCCAAGACAAATTCGTAAACTTTCTTAAGACCTTATGAGATCTATGCATGGACATTGTTTTTGCTCAAGAGCTATTGTTAGTATATTTTATGTGTGGCCCAAGGCACAATTCTTCTTCCAACGTGGCTCAGGGAAGCCAAAAGATTGGACACCCTGGCACCAGTCTGTTCATTCCTACCGTTTTAATTTTTCCAAAGTATCATATGCATGGAATAATGCGATATGTAGCCTTTGGGCCTGGGTTTTTCACTTAGTAGAGCACATTTAAGATTCATCGTTGTTGCTGTGTGAATCAATAGCTGGTTCCTTTTATCGCTGCACAGCACCCACTGCACGAAGCACATGTTCTCCATTTCATTGTGGGGAGACCATTGTATGGGGCAGTTTGGAACAAAACACCATGGACTGGGAGGCTTACACAACAGAAATTTATTTCTCGCTCTTCTAGAGGCTGGGAAGTTCAAGGTGCTGGCTGCATATTCATTCTGAGGCCTCTTTTCCTGATGTGCAGGCAGCTGCCTTCTGACCTGTGCTCACACTGGAGAGAGGGAGCCAGCTTTGGTGTCTCTTCTTGTAAGGGCACTAACCCCATCCACAAGGGCCCCACCCTCATGACCTAATCACCCCACAAAGGTCCCGTCTCCAGACACATCACATGGGGCAGAGCTTCAACATACGAATTCTGGGGCGGGAGGTCACAAACCCTCCATCCACAGCAGACATCTTGGTTGCTCCCAGTTTTTAGAGATTAAGAATAAAGCAACTGTAAACATTTACGTGCAGGTTTTTGTGTGAACAAGTTTTCATGTCAGCTGGGTAAATAGCTAGGGCTGTGATGGCCAGATCCTGTGGTAAGATTCTGTTCCACATTCTAAGAAACTGACCAACTGTCTTCCACAGTGGCTGTGCCATTTTGCCATTCTGACAGCATGGCTGGCAATTCTGTGGCTCCACAACCTCATCAGCATGGGGCGTTGCTTGAATTTTGTGTTTTAGCCATTCTAATTGGTGTGTAGTGGTTCTCATTTGGGGTTCAATTTACTTATTCCTATTTTTTTTTTTTCGCAGGCTGGACATCTTCTAGAGGGCAATAGATTCTGTTTTTTTGTGTTTTTAGACAGTCTCGTGCTGTTGCCCAGGCTAGAGTACAATGGCACGATGTGTGCTCACTGCAACTTCTGCCTCCCTGGCTCAAGCAATTCTCCTGCCCCAGCCTCCCAAATAGCTGGGATTACAGATGCCCACCACCACGCCTGGCTAATTTTTGTATTTTTAGTAAGGATGGAGTTTCACCATGCCGGCCAGGCTGGTTTTGAGCTCCTGAACTCAAATGATCCACCCGCCTTAGCCTCCCAAATTGCTGGGATTACAGGCATGAGTCACCGCACCTGGCTGAGGGCAATCAATTCTGAATAAATAGGTTTTGAATTGGAGATTTTCATTAACCCTGCCCAGGGCTGGGCTGTGTGTTGCTGTGGGTGTGTGGGACTTCAGATTCCTCTGTGACCTCCTTTTGTCTCCCTTTTTGGTTTTGGACTTTCCTTTGCTGTTCCTCGAACAGCCTGTGTCTCTCAGGTCACTCAGCTGTAATCCAGCTATCCCAGAGCTTGTGAGTCAGAGGGGAGGGAAGGGTGGGGGAGAGGCAGTTCCCTGGTCTCCGCCTTTGGACTTCATGGGGCCTGTGCCCTCCTCCCCGTGGCCTTCACAAGTGTTTCTGTCCCCGCTTCAGAGTGAGGCGCCGCCCATCCCCTCCCCAACCCTCCCCCAGCCTCAGCAGGGATGCCCCGTGTTCCTGGTCTGTGTCCTGGAGTCCAGCATGAAGACCTTTGCTTGTGAATACCCTTCCCTGTGATCAGGACCCTTGGGGAAATGCCCGACCCCACATCTGGGGTAGGAGAAGCACAGTTGACCTTGGGAGCTGTTGCCCTGTATTGCAGCTGCTGTGTGCAGGGGTCACGCAGGCCACGCAGGGGTGCGGCGCTTCCATTCAGCTCAAAGTGCACTGTCTGCTCTTAGGCGTCCTTGGCAACATGTGATCCCCAGTCCAAGGCTGGTGTGTATTAAATCCCCATTTCTTTGGAGAGACACAAAAGATGGAAAGCAGCATTGCTTGCTGAGCCCAGGAAATGCAAAGCAAAGGCAGGCCGAGGGGGAAACCAGTGTCCACAGCGGAGGTGGCTCTCTGATAAGCTTGTGGAGCTGGAGTTTGGAGGGCAGGTGCTCAGACATCCAGAAACCCTCTTTCCTCTGTAACTCAGCTATCCACCGCCAAAACCAAAGGAATGGCCTACATTCGCAGCCCACTCTTGATTTCTCCCTTTTGCAACGCCAGGGAGGTGTATTGGTCTGTTCAGCGAAATACCACCGTCTGGGTGGCTTAAACAACAGAGGTGTGTTTTCTCAGCACTCTGAAGGGAAGAAGACTGAGGTCCAGGTGTCGGCCGGGCTGGGCTCTGTGGAGGCCTCTCTCCGTGGCTTGCAGATGGAGCTTCTTTGCTGCGTCCTCACAGCATCGTCCCGCTGTGGGGGTCTGTGTCCTCATCTCTTATAAGGACACCAGGCAGGTTGGATTAGAGCCCACACTGGTCACCTCATTTTAACTTTATCACCCTTTTTAAAAGGCCCTGTGTCCCAAAACAGTCACATTCTTTGGGGCTTGGGGTTAGAGCTTCAACACGTGAATTCAGGAGGAGCATGACTCTGCCTGTAACACCAGCAATATATTCGGGCCTGTGGACTTCAGCAGTGTTGCCCTTTGTGTGGAAGTGATGGCGTCAACCTGCCCCATAGGTTCTTGGGTGTGAGCTTTGGCGGCACGTGAATGGTCTATTTGGCGACTCTGGCCACACTCTTAGGACAAAGGACATGGATTGACAAGTGGTGGGCACGGACTGAGGTGCAGATGATGTCCACGGACACGACAAGTCCATGAGGCCCGCAAGGGCCCCAGCCACCCTGGCCTCACGTTCCCTGAGTCTCTCCTGTAGGCCCAGCTTCCCACCCGTCAGGGTGTAGAAGCCAATGTTAAAACCCAGATTCTAGCCTGGGAGGCCTGAGGTGGGCCTGAGACTCTGCATTTCCAGCAAATGTGCGAGTGACGTGCCAGCTTCTGGTTCTCACGCCATCTCTGTGTGCGAAACTCTAACTCACTCGTGGCCGGTGCTCCTATCTCCTTGTCAGTCTGCAGAGAATGCAGTGGTGTCGAGTTCAGAGTTCAGTTGAAGGCTGGTGGCCAACGTGCTTACATGGACACCCACAAAGGGACCACCCAGACTGTGGTATTTTGTTGAGCTAAACAGCTCCCTGGCATCGCAAATAGAAGAAATCAAGAGTGAGTTGCAAATACAGGCCATTCCTTTGGTTTTGTCCGCAGATAGCTGAGTTACAGAGTAACTGTGTAGTCTGTGTGGTGCAGGGGGTGGCAGAGGGGAAGGGGCAGGTAAGGCTTGGCATGAGGGGCTTCTCATTGGAGGCACAGGCGGGAGTTCAGTGGAGGAGTAAGACCCAGGGAGAGCCCGGCTGAGCTGAGGCTTGTTTTCTGCATGATGGCTTCCACGGTGAATAATGAACTAAGTGTCATTTTCACTAAATCTTTCCTTTGCACCAAACTTACTACCATTCTCATGGAGTCTTTCTGGGGTGTCTGTTTGCAGTGGCTCCTCTGGGAACAGGAGGGAAGGACAGTCAGTGTCCAGCTTGGCTGGTAGATGGGTGGGTCAGATGGAGATGAGAAAGGCCTTTTCCCCTCACCACTCTCACAGTTAGTCCAGAGCCCCTTAGAGAGGTTTACAACCGGAACTCCTATTTAAAGGCCTAAATGTGAATGTAATAGTAATAACGATCCTCATTTTTATTCTCAGCTGACAGAGCAAGGGAATGTGTGTGAATGCGAATTCAGGCACATACATGTCTATAAATATTCTATGTCAGGCTAACTTGGGGTTCACACCAGAGTCTCCAACCACAGTCCATCCCCACTGGGGTCCTTCCAGCTCACTTGGCTTCTGGATGTGTGACTCCCACAGGTGGGGAAGGCCCCCAGGGAAGTCTGCTGAAAATTGTTATTCATGAATGGAGGTTGGACTTCTTCAGATACCCTTCCTGCGTCTGTTAACACGGTGATGTGACGTTTGCCCTTCAGGTGACTCATAGGCTCTATTCTGTTAGCTACCAATTCTGCTGCTTTAAATAAAAACACCATTAAAAAATAAAAAGAAAAGAAACAGATTGTATTAAAATATTTGCACACATATAAAATCTGAAAGACGTGTATCAAAATATAAAGGTCCTTTACAAATCAATAAATAGTTCTTTTAAAAAAAGCAGACAAGACAGACATTAGACAGAAGGTGATACAGAAATGACCAACAAGCAGATCGAAAGTGCTCAGTGTCCTCGGCCATCGGGAAATTCACCTTCACGTCATAACGGGATGCTGCGTGAAAATGCTGCGTGACGGACGTTGAAATAACTGGATGTGAAGAGCCTGGGCCCGCCCTGTGCCGGGAGGGTCTGGAACGTCTGGAATATTCACGTCGCCAGCAGGGGGGAGGTGCACAGGCACAGGCATTTTGACCATAGTGTGGCAGGTGCCCCACAACTCTACGCACACCTGCCTGTGCCCAGCAAAATGTACATGTCTTCCACAAATCGTGCTGGACAGGGCCGCTCACAGGGGCTTTATCTGTAACAGCCC